GAACGGCTGAGAAGAGCGGGTGCCCACCCCTCGTGGGACCTCAGATGATGCCAACCCTGAAACGACATACAGAACTACCACATTTTGCTATAAGTTTGATTGCATCATTTAATAATTGCTGTTAATAGTGTTCATTGTCTGTTTGATTACGTCTTTAATTGATTTTTCCGTACATTTCTGCCATATGTACATTGACTGACAGTCACCGCTGATAAGCTACCACTAAATATTTTAGAAACTTAATTTGCTGTAAAGTTGCTTTGCAACGATTTGTATCGTGAAAAGCACTATACAAATAAACTTGAATTTAATTTAATTTAATTTAATTGAGTAAAGGCTGCTCTGTTTAGGCTCTGAGCTCAAGGCTTGGAATCAGAAGAAAGAGATTCCTTTAAGGGGATAAGGCCAGGTGTCTAAAAACCAAACCAGACCCTGGCCTGCCACCCAGGGGGGCTACCACTGGTTCTGAATAAACCTGCTCAAAGAACTGACTCAACAGATCTTAGGAAGCAACACCCTGCTCAGAAATGTATCAACAGAGATACATTAGTTGAGTGGAGCCCAAGGCGAGAACCGGGGCCTAAGCCAACTCAGAGAAAGGGAACGAGGCTGACAGCGCATAACGCATAACCCTTACCATACAGGATTTTAGAAAGTGCGCAGAATGCTTAGCGTGCACACTTACCACAATGTGGATTTTAGAAAGTGCACAGAAGCTTAGCGTGTGCACTTACCATAGCATGGATTTAGAAAGATTCCGAAGCATCTGCTCACAGATGCCCAGAAGTCCTCAGAACTCAATCCGGAGCGTCAGGCTCAAAGACAACCCTCTGAGGTGAGGGGAGCACTGCCTGGCTTGACCCGAATAGAGGCAGCTTATCAGGGAAGCAGCAAGCGGCCCAACTACCTGATGTCACTGCCACGGAGCTCAAGAGCAGAGGGTTCAACCCCTAGTGCTCGACCGAAGTGACCAATAGCCCAGGGTAGAGGACATAACTCTCGAGTCGAGAGGAGGACTCACCCAGTCTGCCCAGGACCGGCGAGCTCAAAGGGACCCTCCCGCAGTGAGGGGAGCACAGCCATGCCCGGGGCAGATAGATCGCAAATGGGACATCAGAAATAGGATCCTGCTAGAAGGGAATCACACATTTCTAAGGGAACAACAGGGTCCCAACATAAAGGCATCTGGCCAAGGAGGTGACAGAGACAGGCCTAACACTTCGTTGTAAATGGGGTCCTTCGGGAGCAGCGCTCTCGGCTCTCAAGCTGAGGCGGGCCCTTACAGCACATACTGGGTGCGACTCATAGCTAACCCTCACAGAGAGGGGAGCACTTCTCAGCTCGACCAGAAGGGGGCACTAGATTAGAAGGGGTAACCCAGCAGGGCCCAGTAAGAGACAGTCCCCTGGTGCAGCTGGGCACGGTCTCATGCTCTCTATCTCGTTAGAGAGCGTGGGTCCCCTATAACCAGACCCGATAGAATCTGAAGAAATAGCGGGACCCAATAACCATTCATGCATATAGAGCTTACTGCTCCTCAGAGCAGAAGCACAAAACAGGGGTTTCCACAGAAACACAAATCCCTCTTACCTCAGGGAATGAAGTGTATTCCAGCCCACTCAGCAGAGGGGTGATTACTGGTTCAACCATAAGGGCAGTGTGACAGTGAGTACCCACGGGCCCGACCGTCTATGGAGCGTTGAGCTCCTCAATGCCTCAGCGAGAGGAGCTCTAGCTCAGAGAACGTGCATGAAGGTTAAGGAACGATTCAAATCTCGGGAGACCCCTCAGGGTGAGAAATGTGTAGTTCGCACCTGGCCAGAGGATAGGGAGCATGTCGCGAAGCATGTACTCAGAAGAGTACTAGCCCACGAGAAGGACCCACAGGTCCTGA